AAAATCGATGTAACGAGTATATCACCTACCGTTTATTCTATTTTCATAAAATCTTCTGGAATTGTGCGGGTTGGTGCCTAGATAGTTCCATATCCATTTTATCAAATTCTATACAGTATTTAGGCTTGCGCAAACGTACTTTTTTTAGATATACCAATATTTCAGAAACGGTTTCTTCGATTTCGCTCAAACTTCCGTCCTTTCTTTTTTTTTTATAGGTTTATTTGGTTATTCCTCATTTTTTAATATCTTGTATTCTACTAACCCTCATTAAACAACATGACAACAGACGAAGTTCCTTATTATCGATTTGAAACCCAAACCGGTGCTGTTAAAAGAAAATAGAATAATATATTGGGATCGATCAATGATCACAGTAAATAGCAAACCGGATATAGTATTAATTGATCGAAGAATAAAAAGTGGCTATGTCTTTGATATCGCAGTCCCTACCGATGTTAATATCGGATAGACTAATTCTTAAAATATCAGGAAATGAAGACTTGTGCCAAGAGCTTCGGCAACTTTACAAACTGAATCAAGTCCAGGTATATCCCATTGTAATTTCCAGAAATGGCCTCATCCCAGGCGATACCATTTCCTCTCTTGAAATTTCCAAACTGAGAGAGAAAATGTTGAAAAAGGGGCAAAAAGCAGTTCTCCTATGCACAACTAACATCGTCTGGAAGTTCTTAACCATAGTTTAACTTTTCAGTCTAACCCTTGACCTTGGTCCGGGTTGGTGAATAAAAAAAAAACCTGTACCACTAATAACCCATGATAGCTTATGGGTTCAGTACAATGAGTAGTTATCAGCCGGATTCGAACCTCAGATCTTGAGCTCTGGAAGTCAGTGCTAACCCACTCACTCGTATGTGGGTCGTTTTCTTCTGTATATTTGTAGCTTAAGTCCACTTTGCCTTTAGTAAAGATAAACGTAAGTGTTCAGTTTCAGTTTTAGGTTTAATTTTGAGGGTCTTGAAAGAAGTGAATATAACATACGTAGTATAAGATTTAACGTTTTTCTTTCTACGTTCTCTTACCTATAAATGTAATATATAGTAAGGGAAAGTATTGTGATCGTGAAAATTTTTTTTATCTGAGTTTTCAACGGAAAAACACGTTTTGAGGTCCCCTGAGTCAAAATACCCAAGTCCCACAAAATGGTCTGTGTGTATATAAACAGTCTAGCTCAAAAACGAAAAGTCGTACGAAACTGATATTATGTATTTAAGATAGGTATAAGAATTAGATGTCACAGCAATTTTTTCCTTAAAATTGGCTTACTTTATATCGACGGTGAAACACATTTTTACAATTTTCTCAAAAACGGCTCTAACGATTTTGATTAAACTCGGTGTATCATTGTGTAGTTAAGTGTTTATTAATATCATTTAGGTCTCACCTCCATTGATATCACTTTACAGGGCTTAAATGCCCAATGTTCATATACGTCTTCCTCTAATATAATTTTAATATGGTTTATTTAAAAAAACAACTCTCTTTTATTGACAGTAACTATAAAAAATGACTAAATATAAAGTTGAAAGAATATAATAATTGGAAACTGGAGAAACAAAGAAAAATGTTTATCCAGGTTGAAAATCTCCGGAAATAACAGTCAGAAGGTATACGTATAATACATAGTTGAAAGCATAGAATTTAAAAAAAAATATTACATAAATAAAGTTGTAGTAGGTAACGGAAAAATATAGATAATAATTTCAGAAAATTAACATTATGTAACATAAATCACATGTTTCCGAGGAAATCTCACTAAATGTAAACTTTTAATTTTTTTCAAGTTTGAAAAAAAAAAATTTAATATCCACGGAATCAAGCAAATGCCATTGTTTAAAATACTATTCATATTACTTCTGTAAAAGAAGAAGTGAAATATAAAAATATTTCATTGGTATGTTTATAACCTTATATACATTTCGGTAGTTTAATAACGCTATATATAACATTATATATTTAAATAATTAGGTAACTATTGGCCGTTTATTACAAAAAATATCAAGTAACCTTTTAGAAAATTAAATTAGTGATTTGATGAATTTTCCCTTTTGTGAAGTCTCAACATTATCCACTTAAAGGAGGATAAAAATCTCGTAATTTCGTTTTAGTAAACTTTACAAAGGAAAATAGCAGTTTGATTACTAACAGTTTTACAAACCATAATCATTTATAGGTTAAATATTCAAATATACTTTCAAACCTCTCTAGGCATATATGATGAGGCCTTTCAGTTGACAGAATGACTAACTCCGATTTCAGCATTTTTTATTAGTAATTTTAGTGATGTTTCTACTGACAAAATTTATACCTTTAGCTGAATCAACTTACTCAATGTTTGCATAGTGTATTAGACATCCTCTCGTATTTACTTCTTTATGTGATATTGTGTGAGGGAATGAGAAGGAATATATAGGAATGTGGGGTTGTTCGATGAATTATACTTAATTGTGCAGTGGACAAATTATTCATTCTATAATCGATAAGTATGATATCGATAAACAATCGATGAAGAAGGAAGGTTGGAAGAGGACGGAGCAGGTAGCAACAGCTGGAGAAGGACGCCGGGGAAGAGAAGAGAACTCATTTGAGGCTGGGACATTGAGGAGGAACGACGTTGGGTGATATGAGAAGCCTACTACATTGAAGACAAAGAATTCAAGCCTACAGTTACAAGACTTTAATATATTCACTTATTACAGTTGTAAAATAAATTGGTTTGTTAGACAGGAGCGAAAAGTCATTTATTTATTTAGTTGTCTCATAAGCTTCACAATTGAAGAATAATAAACCAGGTGAGTTAATTCATTCAAAGTATATTTATTAAGTCCGGCATTTCATTTATATATTCTTATTGTTTCTTCTCACTAGTGTCACAAATGTATCAATTTCCCTAATTCCCAACAACAGTTAAACATCCTCAAAAAGTCTATATCCAGTGCCGGGGTTTCGTTTTAATAATCACGAGTGTAAATAACCTGGTTCCCCGATAAAAGCGGAAGGCTATTCGTAATTCCCAACGCAAAGTTACTTACAATTAATGTTTAATAGGTTATTTACAATAGGTACAACTTTTCCAACTAGAAATATCACTAAGATGACATTACTCAAAAATGTTGAAATAGTAGTTTCAACTGAAAGGCTCAGAGACTGAAGTTGTCTGGTTTATAAAAGCAGATAGAGTAACTGGATTTTTATTGCCTACCATCGATGTAATATCTGCAAGCTCTATACTTTAGCTCCGTTTAAAATGAACTTCAAAAATTTTATAATAGCCTGAGAATGCCAGAAAATAATTTCTATTCAAAGTGAAATGAAATGAAATGAAAATAGATTTTTATCATCCGGGGACTTTTGTCCCTTTAGATACAGAGGAAATGGCTGTGTGGCCATAAAATTAAATTAAATATTTACAATGGTCAATAAAATAAAAATATTGGAAGAAAAATAAAACAAAATCACTAAATACATACAGATACATACAATACAAACATGTGAAAATAAAATAATATAATTAAACAAAACCATTTCTGGGGGAACTTAATAAGTTCTCTTATCTACTTTTCATGATCAATCAGGTTCGGAAAGAAGTAGGTATTTAAAAAGCAGAGATTTAAATGAGGAAACTAATTGTGCATGTCGGATATTGGGAGGGATAGTAATCCAGGTGGAGACGGCTTGAATTTTAAAGGATTTGTCAAACGCAGCATTTCTGTGAGGAGATGGGTAGAGGTTAGAAGTACGAGATCTAGTGGGACCGGATTGAATGGAATTTTTAAATTGTAGGTTGTGAAAAATATAGGAAGGTCGCTTGTATAGAAAGGTAGCAAGGAAATACAGACTGCGGTCGGATGGATAGAGCCATTTCAACTTGGTATAATACCGGGTTATATGCGTATCTCTTGAGATTCCAAAAACAATAACTTATTGGGCAGTTCATCAGGCGTTTAAGTTTGGCCTCGAATTCTCCCGAGAGTTCGCCGTACACCAGACAGCCATAGTGAAGTGGGGGAACACAAGGGAGAAAACCAGGAGTTGTCGAGATTTATATCGAAGGATATAGCTGAAATGGTTGAACTGATTCAGAGTAGAAATAGTCCGAGGAAAAATTTGGAAGATGTGTGGTTTCCAGGAGAGAGGTAACACCAAGGAAGGTACCAAAGTGGAACAGTACGTGAAAATTGTGTGTTGCGCGCTCCAGATTTTTTTTGTTGATAAGTTTGTTAATGGGTCCAAGTTATTGTACTTTACAAAATAAAATAAATTAACGCTGTGAGCGTTAGCACTTCTGCGTGTTCAAGTCTTTCATTAATTTGTGGTTTGCTATTAAACCTATATCGATTTAAGTTCTCCGTAATATCAAATAAATTGATGGAGAACACATAAATGATTGATCAAATCTGTTATCGCAATGCCCTGGCAGTAATTGATTAATTTGACACATTCGCTATGTATACAAAGCATTAGATATTCTACTTCGCAAGACAAGCGCGGTTTGCTTTAGACTTCAGATTATCATGATGGTCCGACCGATGACCAAGGCCATAAGTAATAATGCTATTTTCACTACGTCTTCAATTTTGGGACTTTTCCCATTTCGGGTCATCGACGACGAGCTGAAGGTGAACAAGCTTCTGCTTTTATATTCTGCAGTAATTGCGATTTCATTTCCAATCTCATGCATTGTTTGCAGCGGAATAAATGTATCAATGAGGGCCGCCATTGCCGGAAACAAATTCACCAACTATTTTTTTTCATCATGTTTTTACTCCTCTCGTTTATTGATTTTCCCATGTCTATTGTTCTGCATTTGGTATCACCGAAATAAATTCGTTGAATTGGTGTATAGATTGGACAATTTAGAACAAATGTTTCAGAATATAACGTTAAAAATAAAGAAGAGACCTGTTCAAAAGGTGATTTCGATTGAAATATTTCTTCCTATCGTATGTGGGATTGTTTTTTATCTGAGCGGAAACACAATGGGTAGTGTTGTCATTTCGTTGAGTCACACCACGATCCTATTTGTAATCGCACTGATTTGTTGCCAATTCTGTACTTTGATAGATACAGTTAGCGACTTTTTCAAATCAAGTTCAAAACTTCTAGTTAGCATCAAGCATCCGTTATCCTTTAAGAAATCGATAAATATTGAAAAACTTGTTGACGCTGTAAGTCAATTGATTTCGACTTCGGCTGAAATCAACGGGATTTATACTCACCAATTACTCATCGTTGTCCTCATGTGCTATGTGTCTATCACCTCACATCTTTATTATATCTACCTAAACGCCAGTTCTAATATTGCTTTGAAACATTTCTATATTCCTGGAGACTGCTTAATGATCCTATATCGCTTTTTTCTGATTTGGCGAACCATTCATTCAGCAACTTCAATTTCCTATAAGGTTAGTATAGGTTGTAATGAATTTATATATGGATTAGTGTGTGATATATATATTTAATTAATCGTAAATGTCTGTTGACCGGGTATGAAACGCCGAGCTTCTCTTCAAACTTAAAATCCATCTTCCTCTGTCCTTATACCTTGTTCTCAGTTCCTACCTCTCACATCGTACCTTTCGAGTTCGCTGCGGCAATGAATTTTTAAATTGCTATCCAACTGAGGACGGTTTTCCTCAAGGTAGCGTATTGGGTCCCATCCTTTACATCCTCTTTACCGCAGTTGCTGATGACGCCGTCATTACCGCCATACTTATCTAGAAGACAATACTGTCTGGCAATGGCCAGATTCTCCACTCACGACATGAGTATATGTGGCTAACGCACTCTTTCTCAATCTCCACTGGGTTTAGCCCCAGTGACGCGGTTGAGAGAGAAGTGCAGGTATCTCCTGGAATAATGCTTTTCTCTCCACAGTTGGAGTGACAAGTCTAGCTGGGAGTTCTCTCGCCATATTTTACATAGTGTATGTGTTCATTTTATTTGTTTATTTTTATGTTATTTTATTCTTATTTATTTTATATATATTATTTTTCTGTATAATTTATTTTATTTATTGTACATAGAGTGTAAATGTTATCTCTGAATACTATTATAAATGTCCTTTAAGACAGATTATAATATTTTGCAATAAAAAAAAAATATATATCTTGTAAACGTGGATCTACAGAACTATATTCCGTGGTACAGATACCTTTCTTGCTTTCCAGTTTAACCGTAAGATAACTTGACCACATAGTCGAGAAAAAAGGTGGCCTTCAAAAATATTGTGGCGTTTGGCCTACACCTCCAAATTGTCAAATTTACGAGGTTTAATGTAGAGGTTAAAGGTAAGACAACATTCACATTATATGTTCAGAAAACATAACACAAACAAAAGCAAAATAACAACTAAAATAATAATCAAAAAGTATTTAAATCAAAAGGAAATATCGTAACAAATGAAGATCTACTGAGGCGCGATTTTCGCTAGTTGAAAACATCAAAAACTATAAATGTAACAAAGATTACAAAATTTTGGTACAAAAAAAAGGCCAAAAGTCTTAAATTAAAAAAAAATAGTGCGTTGCGCTCATCACACAACTTTTACTTAAGCAGAAAAAGATATTTTCAGACAAAGGGAAACTGAAAGTTAAAATTAAAGACGCTATATTGATTTATATTACATTGTGGATATTTTTATTTGTATTAGCACCCTTATATATACAATTTTTTATTTTTCCTTTTTCTATGCAATTAAATATTAAATAATTCCACCACTAGCATTTATGAAACATGTATATGTAAAAGTACATAATGTAATCGGAACCCACTCATTTACCAAGCTTGAGGGCCTGCTCGGATTTATTCGGCAGTTCTCAGCTCCACATAAAACCCTATTACTCCTAGCTCGTATCTTGCAATGCTCGGTCCCTCGATACCATCTCATATTTCTCTTTTAGTTCATGATCAATATTTATCACTGTCTATATTTAACAATTTTTATCAATATCTATAGTGTAAGATAGTTATTTTTTTTAAAACAAGCGGCATTAAAGTGGTAGAATTTTTGACAAATCGGCATTTGCACCCTGTTGGAGAACAACGATAAGGATAAAACCTAACTTATATAAAAAAAAAAACATTTAATTGTTTTAGCATAACGAGTTTAATAAATATCATTAGGAAGAATTTTGCGAAAATCATAAAAATGTGTTGAATCTATAATACAAAGTGTCACTTATGGCTTGCCAATTTTAACGTAAAAGTTGCTGTAACACCCCAGACTGATACAAACATTAAATACGCAGTGCCAGTTTCGTGAGTTATTGTCCGGGAGTCAGTGGCAAAAAGTAGGTGACTTAGTTCATACTATGGTTTATAAATTGACAATGTCCACAGTATGTTATATAAGCGAGTGTATACATACTTCTCTTGCCTTATATATTGATTTATAGCTATGTAATAACGAAAATTACGAAAAATAAGTTTTTCTGCATAGTATTGGAGTTTAATCATTAAGTTACAATTGCTCTAGCTATTGAATGGTTGAAGATAAGATAGTAAAGTAATATATATTCTTAAAGGAAATTTAATGTTAAATATCTTTCTTCTTCTTGACTTTTTCGCAAAATGGAGATATACCGTTATATAACAGTTACCGAGTCAAATAGTAATATATACAAATAGTAACAAATAAGAGGCAAAAACAATTATTTTTCGAAGTTAGTGAATTATGAGGACGGGTATTCCGGAAACTATAGAATATGTGGAAGAAATGAACATAACATTTCAGTTGCAAATTTTATCAGCTTTAATTTTACGTAAAACATTACTATCGCTCTAGCGCGTAGTTTTACTGATATAAGCAAACACCGAAAAAAGTAAACATTTTCAATCCTAAATTCAAATTTTTGAATTGAAATCCGCGGGTATGTGGGTAATTGACTATTACTTCAGGACATCAATAATATAAATTTAAAGGATTGGTGGCTTTCTATATTCATAAGCCCTCTCTACAGATAAGTTTTCTACCTAAATAATATAATATAATATATAAGGTCTGTATCTATCTCTATCTAGCCGCCATTTTGTATTCCATTGTATTTCGTACGTATATTATCGTCAACAAATTCCTTTAAACAATTATTCCACCACTTTCTCCATATTCAAACTTCCTCAAACATGTAAAATTTACTGATTTCTGTACACTTATAATTAAATCAACTGTACCATTGTAATTTCAATTAGCAGTTAATTAGGTATTATTTTATATACCAAAAGACTAATGCACATAATTATGTAACTTTCTTTATTATTCTGAAGGGACTGAAATCAGAATAAAACTATTGAAGGAAGTTAGTCGACTGTTACATTTATAGTTTTTGATGTTTTCAACTAGCGAAAATCGCGCCTCAGTAGATCTTCATTTGTTACGATATTTCCTTTTGATTTAAATACTTTTTGATTATTATTTTAGTTGTTATTTTGCTTTTGTTTATTTTATGTTTTCTGAACATATAATGTGAATGTTGTTCTTAGCTTACTATAATTATTTTCTACGAACGGGTTCCGATTACATTATTTACTTATACATGTATGGGTTTCATAAATGCTAGTGCTGGTATTATTTAATATTTAATTGCATATATTAGGGAAAAATAAAAAAATGTATACGATAGTGTTTAAACCTAAAATAAAACAACCTCAAAGAAATATAAATGAAATTTGACCTTACTGACACTGTTGTCGGGCTAAAAAAAATCTTGACATCTAATTATTTATTATAATTAAAATATGCAGTCGTTAAATAAAGTAGTCAGTGACGAAAAAAAATATAAATTTAAAATATTAGACGAGAGAAAAAAAAATTAGTAATTATTTGTTTTAAATAATATATTACGCCATCTATGATTTTTACTTTCAGTTGCTACCCGCTAAATATTTTAACAGTACTATTACTTTATTGATCAGGTGGTAATGACTTAGATATTTTGAGCCTAAAACATCAAATGATGAAAAGACATATTTAACTCAAAATAGAGTGGTAAGTGAAAGTTGTGTGATGCGCGCACCGCACCATATGTTTACATTTTTTTGATCCGTGTTTATATTGATGTGTTATAATACCGTTTATAAATAACAGACGAATCCAACTTGCCTAAAAGTTTAAACAAATGTAAAAGATGCTATAAATAAGCATTAAAAATTATTTTGTATTTTTTAAATAATGAAGAACAAAACTTATGTACGATATATTGGACTATAATTGGACCGAAAACCCTGGAATATACTCACCAAATTAAAAAAGACAAGAACTGAACAGACAATACAAACAACTATCACATCTTTTGGACTACAGATCTTCTTTGAACTTACGAAACAAGTGATCAATCTACATCATTTCATTAAGACCTATCTGGACAGACGGCGCAGAACTTTTGAGTTCCAAAATACTTCAAGAACTCGTAAATGCATCTTGATTTATCTCAAATCATACCATACACAGCGACATGAACATACCAACAGTAAAATCTTACATACATAACAAATACCAAATTCCAACCATTCTTCAACCATTAATCATCCAAATTCATTTGTCCTCAAGTTCTTTCCTCCTCTCTTTTAACCTGTGAGCCTCAACGAAGACCAAAAAGGCAGCGGCCTTGAGATCTCCTGCTCAATATATAAATAATTATCAGAAACAAAGTATACACAACGAACGGCAATGCATTTGCTTGGTGCGTTGCAACGTACTTGAAAATATAATAAAAAAAAAATCTTAGATAATTTTTTTGAATAAATAATATTTTGTCTTTCAGTCCAAGGAATTTAACGTTCTGCTCTACCAGCTCATGATTGAAGACACCACCAATGATTTTCTACATAATGTGAGTATTACTAATTCCTGTTAGAATAACAAATACAATTTTAATAATAGTATTTTGAGGTAGAAAGCTCAGCTCTCTATCTCAATAATTCTATCAACCAAATGCGTTTATGCATTCACAAATATATGTTATTAGACATGAATATATTTCAAAAAAACTCCTTCGATTTTGGCGAAAGTGGAGAATTAGTTCCAATTTGGTCGAATTCACTCCACCACTTTCACGTACTGGTATGTATAAATAATCATATTTTCCTTGCTATGTCTGCATTTCAAAAATGCCTTTTTCGATTTCGTCTAACCTTTTAAGTAAGTTTAGGGATTTTCTCCCCCCCAAAGAATGATGGGCATTCCCCTTCTAAGAAAGTTTATTGCTCTCCTCTTCTTAAAAATACTGCAATTTAAACTAAAATTATAAAAATTTTAGTTCAGCTTTCCTCTTGTTTCTTCTAAAATGCTCCATAAATAAAACCCCACAAAAATATAGCCTACTCAAAAAATTACCAACCCCGTAAATATGTGCCCTCTCATAATTAAATATTATTTAATTACTTATACAATGCCGGACATGTGTTCAGACATTTATCTCTCGCGTCATTCCTCTCTCCAATTGCTTGAATACATTCTTCATCGAACCATTCGTTTCTTTCTTTCCTCTTTTTATATCCTAGCGATTCCACAGCAACCTCATTCAACACCGTCTTTATTCTCCGCCATCGCTCTTCAACTGTACACTCTTTTACATTGCTTTCATTTAATCTTTGAGTGACCTTTCTTTCAAAAGCCTCTTTCATTCTCTCGTTCTTTAAGCCATCCACGTTTAACACTCTACCGGTTTCTCCTCTGGTTTTTGCACTCGTTAGATATCCTCTGTATTTAGTTCCTACCAAGAAATGATCCGTTTTATAGTCCGTCCCTCTAAAACTACAGACGTCTAATATATGTGGTCGGTGTCTTTCATCTATTAGGAGATGATTGATTTGATTCCTATTGTTCCCATCTTATTATTTAAATTTTAAGGATTCAACCACTAGTGTCATTATTGCCTTATTTTCATTGAGAATTAGATTGTGTTTTTAAGTTTAGAACATTTCAGAAAAGAAAATAATTTATCAATTTCATTCGTATTGTTCTGTAAAATGAATTTTAGATCGTTTGTCAAGTCACAAGATAGTCTAAATGTTTCATAAGCTCTGCATTCTGTTAAAATGTGTTTCACTGTCAGATGAGTCCCACAGGTTTGGCATGTTGGCGAAGAAACACGGGCCATCAGGTATCCATTGGGTAAGGCGTGTATGACCTATACGCAGGCGCGTAAGAATTACTTCCTCTTTGCGGTTATTCCTATTTGATGATGCCCAAGAGGAAACGTCACCCTTAACCTCCCTCAATTTATTTTCGGTTACATTCAACCATATCTGTTCCCATTTTGTCCTCATTTTCTGTTTGATGATGGTTATAAAGTCCTCTACAGCTACTCCCCGATAAGGTATTCCATCAGTAAAGGTTTTTTTGGAAGCTCGATCAGCCAGTTTATTATCGGCTATTCCGCAATGCCCAGGGACCCAGACAAAAAATACTGGTGTATTATTTCTATTTGCGGACTTTATTGAGTACAGAATGTTCTGTATTGTGATATTTTTATTTTATTTATTAAAGACATTTATAACTGTATTAAATAAATACCTCTAGTAAATTAGAACATGATGTATATAATGACATGAAAAACACTTGCTGAGTAACTACCCAATGGTAGCACTTTAATGATATGTTTACATTAGGAGATCACGGGGCCATCTTCTTTTCAGTCGCCTCGGAGGGTCATCAGGAATTGAAGAGGAAGCAAGGTTAGAAACGAGAGGGTTGGGATGATTCTGAAGTTTATTGTGGAAGGATAGGTATCTGGATTGGGCCAGATCCGAAACAAAAGGAACATTAAGGTCATTATGGATGGTTTTATTTGTGACAAAGTAGGGAGCATTGAGGATTTTACGAAGGATTTTGGATTGTAAGGATTGGATACGAGAGGAATTTGATGGTTTAGTGGAGCCCCATAGCTCAACTCCATAAGTCCAAATAGGTCTTATTATAGTCAAGCATATGAGCCTTTTGTAATTAATTGGAAGATTAGAACGTTTGTCTAGTAAGTGCTGAAGTAATCGGAAACGTCGAGCGGTTTCTTGTCGTTTCAGTCTAGTATGAGGATTCCAAGTTAGTCGTTTGTCCAGGTGGAGTCCTAGGTATCGGAGTTGCTTAACAGGGATAAGTGGAGTATTGTTAAAGGAAACTGTAGGACAGGAAGTTGTTGGTTTACGACGAAGGGTAAAGGTAATTTGGTGGGATTTATTGGAGTTTATTTTAATTCTGCAGTTTTGACACCATTCTTCTAGATTTATGATGTGTGATTGAAACATTTGGGATGCAATTGCTGGGTCATTATTTACTGATAGGATACATGTGTCATCGGCATATGTGGTGATGACAGTGTTGGGATGTCAGCTGTATAAACTGTATAGAGGATAGGGCCTAGGATACTACCTTGAGGAACACCAGCGGACTGGGAAAAAAGGGATGAATAGGCGTATTGTGATATTAGATGAGACTAACTAGGGCGGATAGAGAATCTGTGCATATGACCATTTTTTGTTTAGAGGGCTATATTTAAATCTTTATGTTTTGCAATCAATTCTGCATTATGATTATTACATAGCGGTGAAAGAGAAAAAAATATGTTGTTCGTTATATATAATTGATACTCCCAGGTCTGCGGAGGTCTTCGAGCCGTCAGTGTGGATAAAGTCAGAATCGCCTAGTCTGTCTTGAAGTTTGAGAAATTCCTGTTTATATATATATATATATATATATATATATATATATATATAAGGCACTGTTTTGGTTTTAATAAATTTGGTGCGAGAATGAAGATTTTTTGGAGTGGGAAGTAACCAATGATAAATTGGCAAAACTGCAGTTTATTGAAAAATTGTAAGTTCCAGTTTCTTTGTAGATTTCTTTAAGTGGGAAACATAAGCTGTTGCAAAATCAAGCAGTATGATTCCATTTTTGCTTGTTATTTCATGCTTGCTATATTTTTCAATAGTAGGAATCATTGAGGCATTGAAATTACTCATTAAAATTTTTGCATTATACTTAGATAGGTCATCATATACTCCTTCCAGTGCTCGCTAAAACAAAGCTTTTTCTTCTTTATCTTCTGTCGGAGCGCGTGCGCTGATCAGAGATATATGGTTGAATTTTCCTCTAATCCTAATGCAACTGCTCATTTATGTTCTAAATATTCATTAGGGCATGCTTAAGGAACCTTTTTATAATAAAACCCGTCCCCAGCAAGTTATTTCTCACTGTGGTACCGCTATGAATCACTGTGTATTCCTTCAGGTTGACTATGTCTGTTAGTTTCCATCTAATCTCCAGTAAAGCCACAACGTCCATCTTATACCTCTGCAGCAATCTCATCAATACTTTAGTAGTGCCAAACTGGTACAAACTGGCTATTTTCTTGTTTCTGTTTTGTAACAAAGATTTTTTACCGGTATAGGGTTTTAGTACTATGACCACCCCCAGACTTGGAGGACCAGGATTTTCTGTAGGGATTGGCTCCCTCAACCTTTGAACATCGTTCTAAACCGCAAGGCAGCGATGGAGAGGTATGGATGGGGAAAAGAGGAAGGATAGAATAGGTAATTGATCAATGATAGGAAGTCATATGTTATAAGATCAACGGACAGTTGCTCCTTTAGTCGCCTTCTAAGACTAGCGGTTAAACACTATAGCCCTATTATCCCCGAACCCACAGAGAACAAACTATGTTACATACATAAATTAAAAAGTTTCAAGGAAAAGATTTTAGCCAAGTTTCAATAAGATCGTTACAGCATTTTTGGCGCTACATTCTAAAGCAAATCACGTTTTTCGGGCGCCATTTTGAAATGAAATGCTGGATGGCATTGAAATTCATACCAAAAAACATTCCAGAATTTGATTGCATAGTGTTTATAAAATTTCTAAGCAATCGGTGAAGAACTTTCTTAGATATGTGGTTTTAAAAAAACTAACTTTTAAATTTTTATGTACACACACTGTTTCCGGTTTTTTTTATTAATAAAACTAGAGCTGGACAATAAATACTTAGAAAAAAATAAATAAATAAAAGATAATCGGTTGAGAAACAGGAGAGAAAAAGACACTAAACTGTTTTGTCTTTGTTTATTTATATAATGATATTTAATAAAATTGATTTTAATCACTGAAGCTGATGTTTTGTAAATAAATATAAGTTAAATAAATAACGTCAGTTTAATAATTTTTCAGGAAAAGTTGAAGTTGCACATTGCGATGAAGAGAGAAGTCGTGTTTACTGCTTGTGGCTTTTTCAAATTGGATTACACTTTGCTACATTCAGTAAGTGTATGTGTGTGTATGTGTATATATATATATATATATATATATATTTTTTTTTTCAACTTACAATGGATTTATTTTATATACTCATTTCCAAATGATGTAGATCATTTCCTGAACTGTATATAAAATTGTGAGGAATCAATATTTTTTCAATTGACTCCCCAAAATATGGATTATTATTAAATTATTGACGTAGTTCGATTTTTTTTTGCTATACAAAATTTATTTGCGCCTGTTAACTTTGTCAACAATCAGCAAATATCCTCGAAATACAAGATATAAATGGCATGTCAGACATGGGGACTAAATGTATTCAGCAGCACCTCTTCTCTGACTTGCTTCAATTATACATACGTTCTTTAAGGAAGCAGATCTCTCATCCAACGTCTTTTTAGTCTCCTCCTAATGTTGTGTTGTATGTCAGCTGTTGCCATGTTTTTGATCAATCTTTTGTGATGTCCGTTTAAAATATTAGATGTTAATTTAAAAAAAATATGATGTACATTGTTGAAAATATACAGATTGATATACTTTGAACTTACTCAACCTTTCTCCCTTTCACCTTTCATTGTGGATAGACAAAAATTCACAATCATTGCATGTGGCGACGATGCCGAACGGGCAGAAAAAAAAAAGAAACTCTAAAACAGACAAGGGGTTGGATGAGGAAGTTAATTTTTCTGGGTCAATAAACTCATCCAGGAGCACCAAGGAAAACAGATAAATTGGAAGTAAATATGATTTAGAAAAACGAAGAGTACATTTCAGTTTCTTCCTTATCACAATTCCGAAAAATAACAATATTATATAGACAATTTTGTACTGGAATGAGAAATTAAAAATATAAATGGTAACGACGAAAGACGACGAATCTATAGAGAGGTCACGACGCAATTTATTGTTAAAATGTGTGGGAGCAGAGTTATATTAACTGGTAGTGGATTACTTCCATTCTAAATAAAAAATACTAAATAACCTTATTTTGAAACAGAAACAATTTTAGTTATATATCTAAAACTGACTACAAGTGAAGTGCTTCGACTTACCTACCAATGTGTCAGTACTTGAATACCTTCATTGCTCGAAACACGCCCTGATGATGACCCACATGTTTGGCTTGAAACGTCAGCATCAATAAAATCTTAATAATGACTGCCTCCTGAATATGTATCACCTATTTTATATAAAATGCAGATAAAATAATTATCAACATCAATATAAAATCTTAAATTATCAATAGAGCACAAAAACAACAATAAATACATTTTATCTTTTAAATGTTAATGTTAAACCATATTTAAAAATTAAATTAACATTTTATTTACATATAAAAAGGAAAAAAGGCCGGAGCAGATTGCATGCCGAAGTCCAATCTACATTTTTGTTAATATATTTGAGATTATCTCGCCAAATCTCTGTAATTAGATGCATTAGAGATAAAGAAATATAATTTTCTCATATCATCTATAGTGGTTGGCATAAATATTTCCATCCCATTAAGATTTCCCATGCCCTGGAAAATTCTTACTTTCAAACAATTGTATATCAGGCACACAAATAAAACACGATAAAGTGTCTCTTTTCTCTTAGTGTTGCACATTTTGCAATGATTTTTATAATTTTATTGTTAACTGAGACTTTAATCATGTATTTTCCCGAAAGCCGGATCTGGATTAATAATTTGTTATATTTGAAGTTAGCCAGCATCAACAAATACTGGCAAATATGATTATTGTTTAAAAAAAAAAGTTCAAACACTCACTATAAGCAAGCAAATGTTGTTTATATTTATTTAATATCCTTACAATATTAGATCTAATTATGGCTGGGTTGGTATAATGAACTAGATCGCCTTTACTAATAGTATTTAGCAATACTTAGGCTGCAAAATATTGGTTGTCTTCCTTCATCAAATATAGATAGAAAGAATAAATAAAAATATAGCAATGATCAGATATTAAATTATTACAATCTTATTTGTATTTTAAATAATTTTGATACCTCAATAAATACTTTGTAGAAAAATCATATTGATCTCCATGGCGATAAAATCGATACAAGACACATCTATCCTAACATATCGATTCTTCTTCTTTCAGATGATCGCTTCAGTTACAACATATTTGGTTATCTTGATACAGTTTGGAGAACCTGTGAACTAGAACCATCAGCCACCAATGGAAAAGGAGAAAACTCACTGCCTAACCAACTCACCTTCTCTTCTTAACTACATTACATGATCAACTCACCTCTTATAACTGCACTGATAGAGTGGACTCATATCAAAGGCGTACATCTGTCACCAAATTCGAAATTGAGTTATTAGTTGATTCTTATAGCATTTTTTAGCTCTCTTAAATAGTAAAATCAGTTTACATTAACCGAAAAAAAAATGTATTTATCTTAAATTTCGATTTACCTTAAACAGTTGGTTTAAAAAACGAACACCTGCAATGTAAGCAGAGATGAGCAAATGCTACTCTGACTTCTGAGTATTTGCCTCAAATATGGACTTTTTTTTGTGTACCAAATAATTTAATTACTATTTCAGTTGATGTCAAAAGAATAATTAAAGTAAGGATTGAATTCTCAATAGTGAAGGAACGAATAAATGAAAATAATTCTGGGATTAGTGTCATTTTAGAACAAAATATAAATATAGAATACATATTAACATTCCGAATATATAAAATAAAAGTACAGATAATAAAACGATATAAAAACATACATAAATCTATATGAATAAAATAAAGGTTTTGTTTGTACATTGAATAGAAAAAACCCGTTTCATGATATCTTTCCGTTTCATACATTACAGACATCTAACACACTTTTTAAAAATTTGTTGTCTGTCTGGATGTCCGTATTTTCCCGACGGAATTTCGTCAGGAGTAAGCTGAGCTAATGGTAGCCTTTTAAAATTTTGACATTATATTTAGGTTTAACAAACTCATTTTTCAACTTTGCCCGATCCTCCCGTTCAAGGTATCATTCGATTCAATTTTCCGAGCCTAACAAAATGTTGTCGTATACATTTTTAGAATTAATCAAACGGATTAGCCGGAAATCGGGGAAAAAAAAACAATAAATTTCACTCCGCTTGCCACAATCCTTAGATCAAGTTCTAATTTTACACGGATATAGTCGACTCAATGTCCAATGTTTGGTTATTTTGCCAGCGATAAACTCAGCAGAGTTTAAACAAGTGGAGAGACTACAACTATTTTTGATTATTTCAATCGACTCCACAATCACCTCGCTTCATCATAACTGAAAATTAAACAAATTTTAATGGATCGGTGGTGGTCGGTTTAGTTCTGTAGCATCTAAACAAATGTTTAGAACAATGTTTTTGTTATGACTATTGCGAAATCTTGACTTCCATTAGCCCCGCCATAAAAGATTTCAAAACAACCTCCCTCCTCTCCCCTCCTCCGACCCAATTTTATGAAATTTAATTTTGACCCTCCCCTCCCGAACAATACGAAATCCATCTCAAAAAAAGATTCTCTAATTTTAACTATACACCCATCAACGATGGATACATCTGCTAGTATAAAATAAACAAATAAAATAAAATAAATACACAAAATATCAATAAATCACAAAATCATCAAAGTATCTAAGGGTACTTTAAGATTGTTAAGATTTCGAGTTTTAAGTGTATTTCATGATCAACCGGATTGGGAACGGTATAAGTGTTTGAAGGGGAGAGATTTGACAGAGCATACTGACTTTGCTTGTCGAATATCAGAGGGATAGAATCCCTGAGGGACACAGCTTGAATTAAAAAGGTTTTGTCAAACGCAGCAGTTCGGTGAGAAGGATAGAGGTCGGACGCACGGGATCTGGTGGGACGGGATTGAAAGGAGTATTTGCATCGTAGGATCTGTGGAATATAGGAGACTATACCGAGTTCTAATAGCCTGGTATACGAAGGTAGCAAGGAAACACTGATGGTGGTTGACCGAATAAAGCCACTTCAACTCGATGTTAAAGTGGGTAATATGCGTATCACTTGAGATCCCGAAGATATGTTGAGCAATTCATTAGACGTTTAAGTTTAGCTTCGAGTTCTCCCGAGAGTCCACCATACACCATACAGCCATAGTCGAAGTGGGGGAAAACAAGAGAGGAGACCAAGAGTTGACGGGTTTTGAATGGAAGAAAATAACGTAGATGATTAAACTGTTTTAATGTCGGAATTGTACGGCGGGGAATTTGGGAGATGTGTGGTTTCCAAAAGAGGGTTTGATCGAGGATAACGCCAAGGTTTTTAACGGTAGTAAGGGAGGAGATAGGTGAGTTCTTAAGGAGAAGATTAGGAGGTACTGAAATGGAGGAGGGGGATCCGATCAGGATCGCTTTCCATGTTGCTAATGGAAAAGCCGGCATCTGATCACGTGATTTTCTGAAGAGAAAAAACAGACGGATTTATTGAAATGAAATGAAAAATGGTTCCTTTAAATTTAAGTTAAATAAGGGAAGTTGTAAGGATTCCATGTTGATAAATTTCAGAATGATTAATAAGTATTTTTAAGCTACACTGGCCTGAGGAGAGAGCGGGGGAATTATACCGAATTAAAAGTTCCACCTGTTTGACTTTAGACTGCGCGGCCACCCCACCCCCCAAACGAGTGGTAGCTAATATAAAGTGAACAAACAAAGATTTCTTCAGTTCAGAAACATAAGATACTGATTAAAAAATATTAACGGATGAAGCCCAACTCCAGTTTTGGCATTCCAAATGCATGGGAGTTGTGTTTCAAAAAACTAAGTTGGGAAACATAGTTTTAAATGGATAACTAGCTTACAACATTGATATTGGTGGAAAAAGGTTGTTAGAAAGTTAGTCAAAACTCATATTTGTTTTACAAATATGTATATTGTTTCATATTATTAAAGATAAGCAGTTGACTTAAGTCTTATTGTAAATTTAGTCTAAAAAGTCTAAAGTATCGTTGTAAAGTTTGGGTTGGTGTAAAAGTGAGTTTTATTTCAATTAGAGTACTCAAATTTATTTTATGTGATCCTAGGGATCAAATATAACGGTTAGTGGCTCTTTTATATTTTAAGCACAACAGTGAATTTTTTTAAGTGTTTCTGCAATTTGATTAAAATATTTCAGAAACTAGACGTCGGACTTGAAGTACTGTTAGCGAGATAAATTTTGAGCATGTCATTCTATTTGAAATGACCTATTATTCAAAATTTTGGCCGTGGTTACATTAGACACGTAAATCGTACGACACGATATAAACTGGCTATCCACTGTGTTTTCGAAAAACATTCACTTACCATGGCAACGTCACGTCTCGGATTTCTAATTCATTCATTATTTCATGTTTAATCTTATCCAACATGCCTACTAAATAATAGTTTAATTTTATCAAAATGGTTTTTTTAATGTTTTCCTAGTAATAAATATTAATTTCAATATTATATATTCAAAAGAAGATGGCCTCGAGATCTCTTATTGTAAATACATTTTGTTTTTAGAGTGCTACCAGTGGGTAGTTTCTCAACAAGTCATTTCATGTTATTATTTTCTGTTATCAAATTTACTTAATGTATTTAATATTTTAATACAGTTGTAAATATCATGAATAAATAAATTTAAAAAAATGTTATATATTCGATAGATAATCCAAAATTAATTCGAATTCAGTATAAAAATGACAGTATAATAAAAATAAATTTCATTAATGATAATGAAAATATGTAGCGACTTTTAATAGAAGAAGTTAGTAAGTGAATAGAATTGAATATTAAAAATATGCTTTTTATTTAATTTCATATTTTTTAAAAGTATTTCAATGAAAAAAAACTCAAATTTTACATATTATTAGGATTATTCTTATTACCACAATTTTAATGTAAAACCTAAAATTAAAAGTCTTATATATCTGGTAATGTATGCTGATTCCAATCACTTTCTGGTTCTATTATTGGCTGCACTATTTAATATTTTTTATTATCAAAATCAGGTTTGTGGTTGTTTTTAACACTATTTTTAGTGAGAGCTGTGTTTAATTTTAAGATTAATTATAAATTATTTCAGTCTATTTGTTTAAATTCTGTTCACTTCTTCGATATTTAATATTTATGCAAGCAATAGATTTTACTTTACATATAACATATTTTTTATATTTAACTTTTAAATTTTCTAAACGTAATTTTAATATTAGTTATATGAAGAAAAAAAATTAATGTACATATATAAATATGTGTGTATATTTAAAAAAATTATTATTTATACTTTTTTTATATTTATAAATAAAATAGTTTTTAGGCAATTATGTTTATTACAATACATCCCATATCACGGTAAAAGAAGAAATAAAAGCTTTGCAACAGTTAATTGTAGTAATTTTTGCAAAGGGGCACTTTAAGACTGGGTAAGAAATCACATAATTTTTTTGCACAACTTGAAGTGAATCTCACACTTTTTCATAATATACCTCAACATAATTAATATGAACATAAAGCTTCTTAAACGAAGAAGTTTATGTAAAAGTGGTGTAAATGTATTACAGTTAAAGGATGATAAATAAAATAATAATAATAAAAAGGCTTAGCGAACCCGAAGGTTCGATGCCGACACCACCAATCGCTTATTAGACACCTCCCTCCACCGTTCGCCGTCCAAGCCCAGTCCCTTGAGATCGGCTTTAATGTAATCTTCCCACCTTCGCTTCGGTCTACGGCGTTGTGTAACCGTCTGAACTCTCCGGTTAACTCATCCTTCTTCGGTCCGAATATTCTACGCAATACTTTATTTTCAAAAACCTTAAGACGCTGCTCATCCCTTAATGTAAGTGGCCAAGTTTCGCATCCATAAAGAACTGTAGGCAAGATAATTGTTTTATAGATTCTAATTTTTAAGTTTCGGGACAAGACGCGCGAACTAAGTAGTTTTGTCACAGAAAAATAACAAGCATTCCCTTCCTTCAGTCTAACCTTAATCTCTTCTTCAATTTCGTTTTTTCTAGTTATCGTAGAACCTAGATACCTAAATTTATCTACCTGTTCAAACATATTACCATCTATATCGATATCACCAGTAGTATCGCCATTTTTGCAGCTAACCATATATTTTGTTTTATCCACGTTTATTTCGAGTCCTAGTTCTTTACCGGCTTGATTGATAAATAAAAATTAC